TTATTTATTATTTGCATTATTATTTTTAAGATTTTTGAGAGATGCCAGGAAGGCATCATGTTATTTTTATTTTCGTGTTGCTGGCCTAAAGAGAGGCAGCATTTATATTTATTTTATTATATTTATTTGCATTTTTATATAACTATCATTGACCAGTACTTCAGGAAAGCTTTGATAGTTATCGTATTTATTTCGTTAAGTTTCTTGTTAAAAGTTATGTTCAACCTTATTATTTTAATATTTGATATTTAAAATTATAAGTTTTGATAGTTCAGTAGTCTGACCTTTCAATTGAACACAGTCACTTGCCATATTTCAGAAATATCATCATGAGAAATAACTCTAAAAATGGTGATAGTATCAAGAATAATAATATTATAAAAATATTGTCATAAGTTGAATTCTGATAGATATTTCATAATATAGATATTCAACCAATATCTGTTTGTGATTCATTAATTTATTAATTTTATTTAATTACTTTAGAATTGATGTACAATATGTCTTCTCCTATTTTATTAAATAAAATAAAATATCATTATTATTAATAAATATCTTCTTTATATTTACTTAATATAAGAATAATATTATAGTAATATAGTATTAATATTTTATTAAATATTTAATAGTATATAATAAAAATAAATATTATAACAAAATTAATAATTATAAAATTTATTAATATACAATTTTATTAAATAATAAACAAGAATTGATTTATTAATTAGCTAAATTTTGTATTAATTAATTGATATTTTTTGATTTATTCAAAAGATTTTTTATTTATATAAAATATTTTATAACTATATTATTATATTATAATATAATATATATTTTATATATAATATAAATATTAATATATCTGAGAACTTTGCTATTTCTGCTATCTTTATAATTTATATTTATATGAATTATATAGATTATACAGATCATACAAATTATACAAATTATAAAAATTATAAAATTAATTAAAATAATAATAATAATAATAATAAAAATAAAACACATATAAAATCACATATACAAGTTATATATACAAGTTACATATAGAAATTACATTAAAATTATATATTAAAATTACATATTATATATAAAAGTCATATAATTTCAAATTTATTCAATAAGTATATAATAAATTAAATAATTAATTAAATTAAATAAATTTAATTATTAAAAATATTAAATATAATAAAAGTAATTAAATATTAATAAAATAACTATTTTATAAAATATTTAAATCATAACAATATGTATAAGTGATCTTTTGAACACATATAAATACATTATCAAGATAAATTATCTTTTTATTTTTGCTACTGTGAGTAATTATAAATACAAAGTTCTATTCTAATTTATAATTTTAGAATAAAAAAACACTTCAGTTATTACTGATAATCAAAAATCATAATAATATCAAGTATAATATATTTATCCAATTTTTTTAGTTGTCAAAAGCTATTTCTGGTATAAGTAAATATAGTAATTCATTTTTATTATTATTATCATTAAATAACTTGCTAAAAAAAACTATCTTTTACTTAACATTATTTAAATTTTCAATTGAATAATCTTCATTATGAAAAAATAGTATTTTTTGAAAGTTATAATTATTTTCATAAAGAAATATTGCTTTATAAAGAAGATTAAGTTCAAAAAATAAAGATGAGTAAGAAAAGTGAGAGAGGTGAAAAAGATAAAAAACTGGAAAAAAATTGGCTGTATTTTGTATTGTAAAAGAAATATTCATATAATAATATGTATTTGAATCAAATTTCAGATCAAAATTAATTTAGATTTTGAATCAATATTAGTCTGGATTTTGACTCAAAATCAGATTATAATCTAAATTAATTCAGCAAGAATTATATATTATATAATGTAATATAAAATATAATTTTTAAATATTAAATAATAAACAATTAAATTAAATAAATTTAAATTATTAAAAATGTTAAATATAATAAAAAAGATTAATTATCAATAAAATAATTATGTTATAAATATTCTACTTGTAATAATATTTTTAATCTGAAAATATATTATATTTGTGAGCTAAAAATAATAATTATATAATATATAATAAAATATCTTGAACAAGAACTTGTGATTATAATCTGTATTATATTTTGCAAATTATTAATATACAAGTTATTTATTTATTATTCTTAATAATATTAAAACAGTATAATACAAGTAATTATATATTTAATTTAATATAGATCAATTTCTTAAATATTATTTTTATATTAAAGTGTATAATAAAGAAACTTGTTAAAGAATTATAAAAATTTCTGAATATAAATAATAATAGTTTTATTTAATTATTTGAAGATAATATTAGTAAATAATTTTTATTAATTTGATAATTTTAATGGAATTATTAATATATATAATAAGAAAATGATTAAATAAAAAAATATATTATACAATTATTAATATATATAATAATAATAAAATAAAAAATATATATTATATATAAAATAAAATAAAATTGTAATATTACAAACTTATATTTATATTTATTATTATACTTCTTTATTAATATACATATATGATAATAATAAAAAAATAATTAAATAAAATAAAAAAAGAATATATTATACATAAAATGAAATAAAATCATGAAATTTATTGTTGTACTTTTCTAAATGTATATATTATAAATCTTATCTATATATTTTTATTTAGTTTCAAACTTATAAAAATTTTATAAAAATATTATATTCTTTAAATATATTATTACAAGTTTGTTCATTATAATTAAATCCTTTTATAGTTATCATCCTCAGAAAAGCAAACTTTGGTAATTATAGAGAGGATATAACTATAGAAAGAATTTTTTTAATATATTTATATATAAATAGAAAAGCAAAATAGAATAATTATAAAAAAATATAATTATAAATGAATATAACTATAGAAATATTTAATTATAATTATTAAATTAGCTTACAAACTTGAACCTGGATTGGAAAAAAGAATTAAATAATAAACAAACTATTAAAAGAAAAGAGAGATATCTAATGAGTTATTTTTGTTGTCTTTTATATTTTGCTATTTTAGAAATTTTTTGTTTTTAGAAATTGTAACTTTTCTTGAATTAATGAAATTATTGTTACTACTATAACAATATTACTTTTTTTGTCTAATTTGTCTATGATTTCAATGCTATGCATTTTATATATTTAGATGAGTGTAAATGTATATGATTGTATATGGTTGGATAATTACATCTTGATATAGAGATCACCAGATCACTTATCCAGAAATCACATGATCGAACAATCCCCTGCATTCTGATAGTTTTATCAAAAAGCAGGTAATTAAAAAATAAACCGTCAATCTGAAAGAATATCATTAAAACTATCATTTTGACGGTTTAGTTTATTAAAATTGCCAAATTTGTAAGACTAGATAGAGCTTAAAGTTGCATTAAATTTTTGATGAGTATAGATGTTATTATACATCATAGAAATGGAATTCACTCGAATTGTTTTACAAACTCGCTAAATTTTGTTGAAATTTGCGATTAAATTACTTGAATTGAAATTTATGCTCATTTTGCTAATTTTGACCGTATCTTACAATAACATTCTGCTATTGATTAAAATATATTCTATTAAAAATTCTCCAATTAAATACAAAATTACATATCTGAGAGTCTACCAATATAAAGAACAATGAAATTATTCATTGATTGTGGTGCTATGTTTTTGTATTATTATTCACTCCTGTCCTTTCATCATCATCTTCGCTTGTTCCTTCACTGGAGTCCTCCTCAAATGTATCTTCTTCTGAGGAATCACTCGTTTCTTCTTCCTCTTCTTCCTCCTCGTCCTCCTCACTTGATTCCTCTTCTTCGCTTTCTGATGATTCGTCAGATATTAAATCGTATGATGCAGCTTAAAAAGGGATATATTATAATTAAGGGATGATTCAAACATCAAATTTTATTACTGCGAGAAAATATAAAATATTACCTGACGCTTTGGTTAATCCTTGTTTTTCTCCACCCTCTAAAGAATCTGCTGAATCATAAAAACTATCAAGATTATAATTATCTGTTTTTGTCTTATTCTTTTCATATGCTGAGAATACTGGTGTTGAATAGTGTTCATAGGAATCACTACTTAAACTTTTCGCAGCCTTTGATCGCTTATACGATTCATCTTGCTATTTACGAATAGAAAGCATTTAAGTTATTAATAATCTATATAATTCATGCATAGAATAAAAAACTTACCGAACTATCTCGGAATGAGCCATCTGGCTTTTCTGATGGCCAATCTGGCAATGCCTCATAGCCTGGTATCGAATGATTCAGTACCAAAGACATCGATCCAATAATAAATCTGTCACGTCCTGTTAATATTTATTAAATCGATATTTCAAACCAGATATCGTGAAAAAGTAAGAGTATCATAAATAATAAATACAGACCTACGGATGGACTTTCTTCAATAGGTGCTTCCTTTTCACCCAAAAGAATTTTTTTCAAATTATCTGTCAATATTGCACTTTTACTTTCATTTTTTTCCTCCAGATTTTCTTCACCATAATTGGAATTTTCCTTGTTACCATCGAGCAAAATCAACCCTCTTAATAGACGTGCCCGATCTCTAATATCATAATCCAAATCATATCTTGCCAAATTGAGAATATATTGAAATAAAAGTTTGATTGTAGGATTATTCGGATGAAAAGAAACTAGTTTAGCACCAAGATTTAATGTCTGCAGCTTCACAATATCAGCTTCATTCGGGAATGTTTTAGCAGCTTTTCGAAGCACATCAGGAGCAATCTTTACTAAATTTTCTGAATATTGTCCAACAAGCCATAATATGCTAGCACGCGCCCTTGGCACATTTATTTGCTCCATTGATTTTATCAACTGAATAATCAGATCTGCATTATCTTGAGGTCTTAATTGTAAAAGCCTTTTGATGACCACAACAGATTCAGCAACGACCGAATCTGCAATCGAAAATAATAGAGTTCATTGGTTTATTTTTTAAAATCTTCAATATATCTAATCTTTAACAAACCATTTCTACTCCACAGTAGTTTCATTAATCCGTTTAGACAGCTATCCGCCATATCAGGCATCTCTATTGCACATCGTCCAATTGCTTGTATTGCGGTTGTTGCAAAGCCTTTATCGGGACTTTTAACATATTCCTTTTTTGAAAGGTAAAGATTTAATAAATAATGTAGGTAATTTTAGCGTGCAATTATTGAAATTAACTTACTTGAAGTTCTCTTAATAAAAGAGTAATGTTATTTTCATTAGCAATTAAAGTCATTATTTCCATCTTCAGATTACGAATAAAAGATGGATCGGTGGATAAAACAAAAAATTGTTGAAGATGTTGTTCAAAAAGGTACTAAAGATGCGAAATTCAGGTAGTCAGACACATGAAACTTTTTTTTTAATTAACCAAGAAATATCACGCTTTTCAAAATTAATTGCAAACCGGCCGTTGAGTCGCCATTGTAGCAATATTCGCCAGTACAACATGCTGAATTTCGCGGTGTGTTCTCAATAACCGAACTAACGGTCTGCCAAGCTTATAGGCTTCCGCATTAGGTGCTAAATGGTAGTAAATTTTAACAACTGACAATACAACCTTAAAATTCACATAAAGATTCATTAAATTAATTGATGCAATTGAGAGATAACGAATTTCTTTAACGAGTAAAAGAACAAGCACCCCACTATTTCTACTTTGAAGGAGGGATGAACAAGAACGCAGCAGAAGCTCATGGTCCGGATCCAAGATATATGAACTATCATAAAATTCCTGCGAGTTATCCGAATCTTCGTCAGAATAAAATGCTTTTTTCTTTTTTTGTGTATCTGACCTAGGGGACTACAAACAATATTTTATTAGACGTAAGTTGAATAATTTTTCTTTGTAAACAATAAAAGTAGGATTTACCTCAGGGTTCGGATTTAAGAATTGAGTCCTACATTTTTTATAAAATTACGACATATACTATTAAGCTTTTGATGTATATAATTCACTTATGAAATAATGGTCACTAATTACCTCGCATATCGTAATAAAAGTCCCATGATCACTATTTGTCCCCATTCATCAGCATCCACCAGCATCCGACATAACTTTCGATAATGTGGATGGATTAAATCCAATCGTTCTGGACAAACTTCATTAAATGCCATTATGACACTTCCGATAGTAAAAGAGGAATTATCATTAAGAAGAGTGGTAATTATCTCGACTAATGAATCTTTTTGCGTCGGGTCCAAACTATAACATTTTGGTATAGCAGTAGCTGCAGTTTTTCTTACATAAGGCGATAGATCTGTCATGCATTTTTTAATCGCTAATAATACAATTGGACTGATCACAGGCACACGAATACCAGACATTACCCGAAGCGCCATCGCTCTTATTAATTGATTCTGATCAGTGAGATCTTTTTGAAAGGTGTTAATCGATAATAAAGCCAAATCAGGCTCTTGTTCAGCATAGCGTAATATGTATATATAGACTAATTTCCGGATTTCAATATTCTGTGATGCTACATTTTTGACCACATCCGGGAAAAACTCTGAGACATTACGACCTTTCGATATCATCTTTAGTAAAATTTGTTTAATAAATCTCTAGTGTTTTCTAAAAAAAAATATCATTATTATTCAACACGTACAGCAATTAAACGCTTAAGTCCATCCATTTTTTCGCGATCATGGCGAGAATCTAACTGTCGTCTTATATCACGAATCTTCTCTTCAGAAGTCTCGAAGTAATGACCTGAAGAGGTGGCTTCAAGTCCGAATTCGCGAGCATTTTCAACTATTCCTTCTGAAACCTTCTTTGACAATTTTGCAGCATTTTGGGCAAAAGCAGCAGCTTTATAAAGATAATCCGACATTCTTTCCGCTTTAGACAAATTTTGAAGGGACTCAAAATTTGGATTAATAGTCAGATCATCCTGGTTTTGGAAAGTTGCACGCCAAATTTTGTTCCTGGATCACTATATTGAAATCGCGATATTCTCTCGATTCATCGATTTATTAATAAAATTAATTAATTTCATTTTTTATTAATAAATATTTTATCAAAATAAAAAAACAAAATTAATTTAGTATTTCACATTATACAAGTTTTATTTTGAGTTATATATTTATAAGTGAAGTTTATTATTAATTTTGAAAATACTCTGATGTAGAAACTAATTGAAGAATTAGAAAAAAATATAAATAAATTTGTTTATATTAATCTTTGTTGAAAATCAATAAGATGCTCAACGTTAACATTCCATTTATCATAAGCTGCGTTGAATTTTAATCGTTCCAAATTAGTTTTCCTGAAGATTACGCTATATGGCGTTAAATCTAGTACGACATATTCGGAAACAGAAAAAGAAAATCAACTTTTTTGATAAAACAAATCGCATTAAATACTACCCTGAATTCTCCGATAAAATGACAAATAAAACTCAAAAACTTAATTTATATTATTTTTGTTTTAACCCACAAAAAATAAAGCTCCCTTGGCCTAGAGGTTAAGGCGTCGTGCTTATAGGTGTCATATCCTATAAAGGAGCACTAAACGCGAAGTACGCGGGTTCGAATCCCGCAGGGAGCACTTTTTATCTACAAATCCAAATCCGAATAGTAAAAAATGAAGGAAGGTCGGTGAAATGACGTAGAAATTTTCGTATACGTTGTTATAATCAACAAATACAAATGCAGAGATTTTACGCGATGTACCCCAGAAATGAGCCTATCGCTATAGTAAAAAGCAAAGATGCAACAATCGTCATGCATAAATGAATGTTTACAGTTTCATTATCGTGTATAATATTTATATTGTTCAAAATGATGTCATCTCTTCACTAAATTAAAAATCAAATGGGGCAAATTTAGCGACATTTCCTTTTGAGCTACTTTTTGCTAAATTAACAATCAATAGTGATAGGGGCATTTCCTTTTTTGAGCTATTTTTTTTTATTTTTTAGTTTCTTCGGGACAATTAAGTCGATATCATGATTGCTTATTTGCACATTTAATAATACATTTGTCGGTTCGAATACCCGTTCAACACATCTAAAGCCTGAGCACAGCTTTTGATACTATCACATATTTCCATGATTTCTTTTGGTTCATTACTTAATGTTAACTTGAGCCGCAATTGTTCAAGTTTTTCTCTTATTGTGATGATTGTTTTCTTTTCAACAGTTGTAATAGAAGTATTGCTGCTGACCGTTAATGATCCAGCGGTGAAGATTGTGGAGTCAGTTTGTTGCTTTGAAGTATTTTGAGATGAAAGTAATGTCACTCGTTCTGCCTCTTTCTCGAGTTGCTGTATAGTATCCTAATAATAATAAAAATAACAAGATCGTACAAAACATGACCGAGATGATTTGATGTTAAGCTGAGAAATACTAAAAGATGACAATACAGATGATTGTGTCTCACAATCAATCTTGTTCCGTTTAGCTGGATTATACTGAAATGTATATACAAACAATATTCACTTAACTAATTACTATATATTTCTTGGAGAATTATAATATAAAGAGAATAAAGATTTACGTACTTGTATATCTTCTTCCAATTCATGCTTTTTTTCTTGCTTTACAAGCGTTTGTGATGAGCCAATTTCATTTGTTATTATTCTATTAATGTTTCTCGATTGATCTAGTTCCGATTCAGATAAATAATAATTTTTGCAAATGACACAGTATTTTTTCCTATCACGAGCGCGAATTAGTGGCACCTATGGATGGGCAAGAAGGTAAAATCATTTGCTGACATGCCGAGAGTATATAAGAAAAAGGAATACCCCATAGCAAGTATTCGATGGACAAATTTCATCAATTAATGCCCATCCTTGTAATAAATGTTGTCCAATTAGATGAGAAGCAAGCTTTGATTGCTGTTGTCGAGCTTGATTTTCGTCAGTTTGATTTAGGGCATCACCTTCTGTATTTGGAGAAATGTTTTGACTCATGGTGTACAATGAATTCTGACTAACTGAAGGTTTTCGGTTTGCATTGGAAGGGTCACCATCACATATAACACAGAACCATTTGGTACCATCTTTCGAACGCATTAGCGGAACCTAAATAGGTTAATGATATTAATTTATTTTTAAAAAAGACTAAGTAAGAAATGCTCACGTTACAGCTAGTGGTTCGGCAAGCTTCATCTGTCATTACCTACAAGATTTATCAGGTTACTTTAGAATTGACTTGTAACGCGTATATAGTTAAACTAGATTCCCTTACCCAACCGCCTAGTAAATATTTTCCAATAGCATTGGCAGCGCGCTCAGTTTCGTTTTGTTGAGCTTCCATCTTTGAACAATAACAGAAAAGAGTGAATATATATATAACGATAACGGGTTTTGATGTATATATAGAATATCTATTAACAATGCGATCACGTTCATCCCAATTGGTAATTGATTCGGATCGTTTCTCCGAAGGAGAATAAAAAATAAAAAAGGTGCGAGCTTGTGTTAATACATTGAATTTCTAAAAACACTGCATTTTCACCCAGAAAGAAGTTCCCGTACATATTCCCACGTTCATGCTGGCAAAAAATTGTGCGATTCACCATGGGAAAAAGATAGAGATCATATTGTAAATATTTATTTGAGGAACACAGTACTTTGTTACTTTATGTTTTCCGAAGTACCACTAATAATAGAAAAATCGTCCGTAATTTGTAACTCATTATTTTTTATTTTAGTAAAATGGTCTCGTCAATAACAATGATCGTTATATACAACACACAAGATTTTTTTTTTAAATGTAAATGCAAATGCAGCCTGGAAAATTCGAAGACGATTACATGTAAATAATTAATATTATGAGGAATCTCGCTGCACCTTCCAAAATAGACTTCTAGTAGCATGTCACTTATGACCAAATCGAATTCCTTCTCTGTACGAAAAGGTTAAAGGTTTCTTCTTCAGCCTATCAAATTCTAAAAGAAAACTTTACTTGACTTAAAAGATTTCTACCAATGAAAAAAGACTAAATTTCAAGAGCGGCGCGGATATGGGCTGACGACATGTTCGACCGAGAAAATCTAAGCAACGGCCCATCAATTAGAAATTGTTGATAGAATAGATGAATAGATAGAATAGAAATAACATTAATTTATATTAGTATTGCGAAAATAATGATCGCATGATCTGGCACATGAACCGACGCAGGAGAGCAAAGAGAAACTTGTAAGACTAAATACACACTAAATACGGGCCCCAAATAAACACAATGTCTTGTTTGTCTTCCAACATCTTATATTGATATCTTATATCATCATCATTGGGGTGAATAAATTTGCCGCGTAACTTGTTGATAAATGATTTTGGTCACACAGAAATTTGATAAACTTCAATAAATAAGAGAGGAGAACGTCCAAAAGTTAAAAAATTTGGCTTCCTTCCAATCAAATTTGCATCGTTTTTTGATTCCGGAAAGACCAGCAAATAGAGCTCACACAGCTTCTGTTCTCTTGTTGTTGTGTGTCGCTTACACCTTTTGTCCTTTTACTACACCTCCCTTCGTTCGACTTTTCCAACTACAACTAAAACAAAAAAAAACTAGTTAAAAAAAAGTTCCTTTCGTCTCTTCCTTCCAAACAAGAAACAACTACTAACAACTCGAGACTTTTCTCTCGTCTTTGGTGTCGTCTGTCGCATCGGAAATCCAACTTCGTCGGTACTTTTCATTTTTTTATTTTTTATTTTGTCACTATATTTACTCATTAGTCTTGTTTAAGAGTCAAATGGTGTGGTATATTGAAAGAAGAGGGTGTGTGTTGTGGTAAGGATGGATAGAAGACGCGTAAAAAGCAATATTTGTGCGTAACAATAATGTATAAAATAGTATAAATGTGCAATATCACTTACCTATTCCATATTTTATATATATTACGCATAACCAGTGCCGGACGGAAAAACCGATCATAGCAGCGGCATTGTGAAAAGCACTCGTCTTAATAAAGCGTCCCTTCACTCCTTTGGTCGACACTTTGTATGTTTTCTTTTAAAATTTTTTCTTTAATTAGGAGACTCTTGGAAATTAACTAACCTTCTCCTTATCAAATAGCTGAATAGTTTCTGTTAATCAACCGATAAGCCAACTAACAAGCTGTCAATCACGCCACACGTTTAGGCCACTTTACCGCTCTCAACGTTAGTATTTGTGGCCACGTCAACTTTGCTAATTGAGTTAAAATACATAATGTTATAAAACTCTTTGAAATTACAAGCGAGGTTAACAGTATATCGAATTGGTCTGTATTTCAACAGTTCAACTTCCTAGTTAATTTTTTTTATTATGCAAGTAATCCCACTCTTTTTTTTTCATTCAATATAACCTTATCTTATATTGGTATCGTGCTTAATAACAATAACCGCAGCACATTTCCAACCCACGATCCCTTTATTATTATAAAGTTTCATCAATAATTTGCATTCTATTCCATTTCATTAATAATATATTAAACATCACTTTCAAAAAAAAATCAATCAGCCAATCAATCAACCAATCGATCAATCAATCAACACAATAAACACCTTATTTTTCTTCAAGTTCTCCCATATCCGCTATCTGAAAGTCGCAATAAATTGTCATTGTGCCTTTTAATTGTAATATAGTCTTTTATACATACATACATACATACATACCGTATATATTTTTCCATCTTTTTCTTTTTTGCTTTTTATTTTTTCCTTTATTTTTTTATTATTATTATTATTTTTTTATTTTAAGACCACAATATACATTATAATTGCTGATTTTTCAGTATGGCGTTCTAAAAGAGGATCCAGTGCACAAAAGATGACCATATTTTCATTCAATACTACTACAGTTTTCACAGCCACCGCGGTATCGCATACTGGAACTCTAGTTGATCAGCATCGACTTAAGACATCCATCACTACCACAACAAGCCACAGTAATTATTGGTATCACTTAAATTATCATATTTCTTCTCGACATCGACGAAAGTCATAACAAATCATCATCACCAACGTCATTAAATATCTCCTTATATTTATATCTATATAAATATACAGTAGTGCAAATATTCAAATACAATTGTGGGGCCTTTGCTCCAATCTTGATCTACAGGAAAAGCTCTCTCAAGCCGGTTCTTGAATCAATTAAAACAAAAAGATAAAAACAACAATATAATTATCCATATTATATTTCACCCTCTTCTCATTTATTCAAAAAAAATTGCAAAATTACTCCTCACACAAATTTTATATTTATCAAACGGACAATTATATCAAAAGTTATTACTACTATAATGTTACAAAGACACACATCTTCTCCAATACGGCCTGTTTCTTATATTGATGTGCCAAAAATCACTCATTATCAACAACAACAACAACAATGGTCTCAAGACCCATTAATTTCACCGTCAATCCTCCCATTTGAGCTCGGATCAACGATAGAGGATCCGGTTCGTAAATCAAGTTACACTCTAATTCAACCACTTGGTAATGGCTCTTATGCGGTGGTTTATATGGTACTCAATAAAAAGGATAATAAATATTACGCCTTGAAGTGTCTTTCGAAAGCCAATCTTAACGAATATTATTTAGCAATTCAACAGAATGAAGTAAGTTGTCATTAGATTTATTATATATCATGAAAAATATATGTTTACTTATTTTCCTCCTTTACGATATCGTGTCTAGGTGTTAATTCACGAAAAAGTTAACGGGCATCCTAATCTTGTACGCCTTCATCATACATTTGAAACCCCTGACTGGCTTTTTCTTGTCATGGAATACTGTGAAGGTCAAGATCTGTATTTTTGGCTTACGAAGAACCAAGACCACAAAGACGCTAAAACAGGGCGACAGTATACAGAAAACGAACGTCTCGAGCTTGTCAAACAGGTCTTTATGCAAATACTTGATGCAGTTGGCCATTGTCATAGCAATGGCATCGCTCATCGGGATCTGAAACCAGAAAATTTCATTGTCACTGTTGATCGTGAAAGTGGCAATGTACTTGTACAACTGACTGATTTTGGATTAGCTACGGATGAACTGGAATCCACCGATTTCGACTGTGGATCAAAACCTTATATGAGTTATGGTATGATGTGATTTTGATTACACATTTCAGAGTGTATTCGATTATTTATTAATTATTTACTAATTCACGTGAAATAATTACAGAATGCCGAAATCCTGTCCGTGAAACCTATCATCCTCGGTTAGGTGATATTTGGTCGTTGGGGATTATTTTCCTTAACTTGCTCTATCATCGTTCCCCGTGGTCTGACCCAAACCCAGAACAATGTAAATCCTTCGCTGATTTTCAACGTGACAAAATCGGCTTTTTAATGCAACAATTCAAAAATATGCCAGAAAGTGTGGCTCATTTCTTGTCTACTCGAGTGTTCTGTCGTCCTGAAGAAGGTCGCATTAGCATTAGAGAATGGAAAGTATGGTGTAAAAATTTGGTTCAAAAGTTATTGAATAATGAAGAGGAGGAAGAGGAATATTGCGAAGTGGATCATCTTGATCTACACGAATTAACTATTTCTGCTGGTGCCCAAGTAAACGATGAGGAAGATTCTTCCAAAGAGCAAGAACAGCAACACGGTTACGCTCGTAAAAAATCATGGTCTGATGTCTTTGAAGAATCACTTGATAAAGAAATGGACTTTACTGCTCCCGTTGTTTTCTTGGATGAAATGGATAATTGCCAGGCTTCTATCGAAAATAATCAATCAAGGGAGAATAAAACTGCATTCGTCGAAACTACTACGGAGGTTCCCTTCTTCGAAGTAGTTAACGAAAATAATGAAAATAAACAAGACGAAGAAGATCAGCAACAGGCAGATGCCAATGCAATTAACAGTGATGCAGACTCTGGCTTTGGTACAGACGAAGATATTAATGGAAATGTGATGATGAGACGAGTGCGTGCTCAACAGAATTCCACCGATATTAATGACAATGGCAATATGAATGCGAGTCTTTCCACTACTCCACCAAAAGTAATTTACTGCAGACCGAGACCTTGGGGTGAGGAACGCAATTCTACAACATCCATTGAAAATAGCCACATGCAAAATAATGATCATTGGAATTCATACAACCTACGTCGCGAGCGTCTTGAACGAAGAAAAGAAAAAGAAAAAAAGAATCAGTTTACGCGAAATAGACGTCGTGGATCTAGTGTAGGGGCTCAGGATGCACTGTCCTTCTCCGGGATAAATTCCTTTCCACGTCGAGTTCGTCCACGTCGTCTTTCGCAAGATCGAGTACTTTATTTTAAGGCTAATGTGACCCCACCAACAAAGAATGCACCTCCACCTAGTCCTAAAAGAAACAATCATTCAAGTACGGATTTTGTATCTGAAACCTATGTACCGCCTTCTAATCCCGAGCGCAGGAAATCATTTGCTCCTGTTTCTGACCGTAGGAAATCATTGACTCCTGTCTCCAACCGTAGAAAATCGTTAACTCCTATTACTACGTCTTTCGATGCGCCTACGCATCCTCCTCAGCGTAGAATCAGCCGAGAAGACCTTTCTGAAGTGGAAAAATCACCCAAGATGGTTACGAAATCCACCAAGAATTCTTTGACTAAAATGCTGGAGAAAATGGTGATTTTCAATCGTGGAATTAAGATTGGTGGTCAAGACAAAAATATTATGTAGATCGGCAGTATTGTTATGAGATTTGAGTAGGTTTCTTTTTAATTATAATTTCTGATTTGTCATTGCTTTCATAAAACTTTTCAATTAACATGTTTTTATTGCTTTCCCTTTATTTTCGAAGTTCGTGTATTTAAATATACTCCAAGTATTCTTTAATTAGCACTATAAAAAAGTTATGAATCATATACATGTGTCTCTTTCTCTATACACAACCATCTCTTTATGATATTAGTTTTACATCATTTGGTTTGTTGTTTTATTTAGGTACTTTCTACTTTATTAAATGTGTTCACGAAATTGGGAAATACAATTAGACTTTAATTTGTGAGCAGATACCCACCGATTTAGTTTTCTTTATCTTTTTTTAAAATGGTCTGCGAATATATTTTTGGTTTAATAAAAATTCAATGAATGCTCCCATTATTTTTATACTTTTTAAATTCGTAAATTTATAAATCCCCCCTCCCGCAAAAAAACCACGAGATTATCTTTAGATAAAACAGTATATGTTCTCGAAGCATTTGCAAAAGTTAATGATGAACAATGGGAAGCATATATCAAAAAACAAAAACAAAAAAGACGTCAAAACTATATATATATATCACATTTATATTACTCCCTTCTCTACCATTACATACTTCCTTTTCACTAAAAAAAAGAAAAATTCCCAAAATTGATTTCCAAAAAGAATTTGTTTTTATTTTACGGAAAAGAGCAAAAGCCCTTTAGTTTAGTTGCATCATTTGTATCATATTTTTTTCTTTGAAGTCCGTGTATTTGGCTTGTTCCAATTATGCGCTTGCCTCAGCAAAATAAAAAGAATAATTAATAGCATTAATTGATCGTTTGATCAATCTACGATTATTTTTACGTGCAACTCTTTAAAATAGTCCTCAACACCAAATTACAGATAATAACTCAATGTGCAGTCATACCTCGATAAACCTAAGTGGACGGGACTATTAGTTCTCGGAATCAACTTTTGTTTATCGAGTATCAATGATATCTTTAAAATCAGACTCCAATATGAAACCATTAAAAGATCGTCTTTTACCCTTAAATTGGGGGGGGGGGGGGGAATTAGCTTCGTGTCTGACATCTGATTTTTGTGCATTCATGTCGATCGATTGTACAGATTTAGTTAAAAATCCGCGGTTTTTCATATGGTAATAGTAATCGATGCATTATATGATACGATATGCATACAGAAACTTTTTGTTCCTCTTAACAAAAAAAAATGGGAATATCTCGTCAAAGCAGAATCACCATTCTGCTGGTGATCGATACATTTTTTTTCTTATTGGAAATAATTGTTGGGTCTTCAGTGAATTCTTTAGCTCTGGTTGCTGATTCCTTTCATATGCTAAACGATGTTATAAGTTTAATTGTTGCGTTATATGCAGTCAAGGTTTGAGAGATCTTTTTCTCGATCGATGAAATTATTCTATTCGAGTTTATGTTCTCTGTGACATATTTTTACATTTTAGCTTGCAGCACGGACGACATTTTCATCTAAATATTCATATGGTTGGCAACGTGCCGAAGTGTTAGGCGCACTTGTAAATGGAGTCTTCTTACTAGCTTTATGTTTTAGTATTTTTATAGAAGCGATTCAACGATTTTTTGACCCTAAAGGTATGTTATGTATTTGTATTTTATGTGTCGTCGACCTGTAAATTCATTACTAATCATATTTCTTACTTGATGATTTTAGAAATAAAAAATCCAATGTTAGTACTTATTGTAGGAACAGCTGGATTCATATCAAATCTTATAGGATTAGTTTTATTTCATGGTAAATTACATTGAATTGTAAATTGATATTTGTTGTGATTTCTTTTAATCGAAAATATTCTTTGCGCGCTTTTATTTTATTACCAGAACACGGACATGGACATGAACACAAAGAACATTCAGATATTCAATCAAGTGAAACAGTTGAACCCTCGCCAAATGAGCGAAGATTATCTACACCTATAGATGAAATTTTAGTTCATCCAGCACAATCACGTCAATTTGTGGTTCAAGCTGCTCAAGCAATAGAGGAGGATGTATCTGAAGTTGAATCTGATGGGCAAGATATTACCAATGCTGAACAAGCTGCAGGATCAACGCCAGCGGGAGATTTGGACACTAATGAAAATTTAGGTGCGACATCGCCATCAAATGCACACAGATCAAGCTATGGTACATTGAAAAATACGCATGGTCACAAGGGACAACCACATGATACATCGAAACATTCGCATGGCCATAAACATGAACATCATAAGGGGCATGCACATGGTGGTCAAAATCTCAATATGCAAGGAGTGTTTCTTCATGTTCTTGGGGATGCATTGGGTAATATCGGTGTTATTGCTACAGCGTTATTTATTAATTACACAGAATATAAATGGAGATTTTATGCTGATCCTATAATAAGGTAAGAAAAATGCTTTTATTTATTTCTCTATTCGTAAATTGCATTGCTGATTCTGGCTCCTTGTGGATTGAGTGCAGTTTGGTTATCACGGTTATCATTTTTTCATCTGCATTACCATTAGGTACGTAATTTATTGGAATTGAATAAATTCAGATTATAAAAAATTAATTATTATTTACACTATTAGTGCGAAGTGCTTCATATATTCTATTACAAGGTGTACCATCCGGTATTCCCATAGATGTTGTACGAGAAAAACTACGAGAAGTAATTGCTTAGTTTATTTTTAATAAATTCATTCCAATTCAAGCTACTTAGTAACGTTTAAATTATTTAGACGCCTGGTGTATTGTCTGTACATGAATTACACATCTGGCAATTATCGGACACGAAACTGATTGCATCTGTTCATGTGCTGCTTGATCCTCGAACTGATTATATGACAATTGCAGCTGATATAAGAAAAATTTTGCACTCTTATGGAGTTCATTCCGCCACCATCCAACCAGAATTTATTAAGTCGTCTAATGCTAGTACATTAAATGATCCGGACGCAGAAATGATTGCTAATGAAATAGTAAATACTCTGATTTTTTTTTGTTTTGGAGTGACCGAAACTGGTAACTAATAAATCGACTTTTCTTGAATAGGATGGGCATGAATCAGCATGTCTACTTCGCTGTGCTGAAGATGAGACATGTGCACAAAATGTTTGTTGTCCGACTCCAGCGACTACTGAATAAAGAAGGATATTATTATTATTTAATTCAAGTAAAATTATTTTATCAAGAACTTTATTACACAAAAAAAGTCTATATATTATTTAAAATCTTTAATTGTAACTTCGTAGTGTATACTACAATCTACTAATCTCATTCTTATTTATATAATACATATTTCAATCTAACTTTCCTTCTATATATCGCGATATCGATATCGACCAGCTGATGCTCTGTGTTGTAAAACTATGCAATATCATGTTAACTCAACCACGAGAATCGTTTTTAAGTCCACATCCATAGGGTTAATTTAAATTAACAAAAAGATAAATTGATAAAAAATAAAGATATTTTTTAGATTAGTATCACAAATAAAAAATATTTTTGTAATGATTAATTTTGTAAAAGTAATATTAATGCACTTGCTGAGTATAATAAATAGAAATTCATATTTTAATTTTTAAAAAATTGCAAAGTTTATTGTTCAAAAGTGAATAAAAAAATACTAAAAATAATATAAAAAGTTATATTTACTTAATATAAAAAAATTTATAAATATTAATTATATTTTGTATGATTTTTATTAAAAGTAATTATTAACTTTTATTTTTTGTGTATTAAGTTCATGAAGTTTGACAATGAATATATCTTTATATTTGTTTAATAATTAATTTAGAGCTTGATCTTGTCTTATTGTTAATTCATATCTTTATTATTAGTAGATCCAAATTTATTAATTCCACAACTAGTTTCTTTTAATGTTATCAAGTTTGTACTGGTTATAATCTTTTAATGAGAACTAATTATAGGAACATTGTCTGTGCAATTTTATTATTTAGCTAGATTGTGTAGTTATCATTAGATTGATTATGTAGGATAATACTGATATTTCCAATATAATTTGAGTCAATAGTTTTATCTTTAATATCAATTTCTTTTAAAGTGAGAAATGATTGTAATATTAATTGATATATTATTTCTTCAAATATTTTCATTGTGATAAAAATATTAATTACATTTGTCTGTTGTAATTTAATGACTTGTAATTTTTCTCTAGTATATTTGACATCAAAGCCAGTATTATTTTCATGAGCATGTTCCAGTATTTGATCTTTATCTTTATTATTGTAAACTTTAATAACAAAAAGTATATCTTTGATTTTATTATCTTTAGTATATATTGTTATGATATGAATATTTTATTGATTAATTCATATCATAAATTTAATTGAATAATATTTTATTATATTCTATTGGTTAATTTCATATTCATATTTTATTGGATAGTTATTTTTAAATAGTTATTATTTTATTGAACAATTATATGTTAGATATTATTGGTTCTTAGATTTGTATTAATTGATCTACATAATCAAATTTGATTGATATTAATAGTGAAATTTATGTAATATTAGAACGAGCAATGCATAATCATTAAACAAGCGAGTGATGTATAACCATCAAGTGAGTGCTTTTTGTAATCTTAATATTAATCAAAAATAGTTTTAATATTTGAAGATTAAGTAACAATAACTTGTATAAATATAACTTATATTTTAGCTTAAAGCAATAGCAATAGCTCTCAAACAATAGTAATAGTTTTATAATTCTATAGCTCTCAGGACCTCAAGAATAATAAATAATAAATAATAATTAAAAACATATAATAAATTAATAATAAATTCATCTAATAATAAAATTATATTTTATTATTATTAAATTATGATCTTATAATGAAATTACATATTTATTACATAAAATCCTTTAAATTAAACACTATTATTAAAAATCCTAGATTTCATTTTAGCTAATCACTGTCACGGGTTGATCGTGATTAGGCGTAATCGACAATTTTACCTATAACAATGAGTTGGGGGAGTAATTAGACTGAGTAGTATCCGGTCGTTTCTAATTCCCGTGCTGATATCTATAGATATCGTTCAGTATGACGGTATAGAGGGGAATTTGGATGAGTTGGTTTGTAGGTAAGATGGTTTTGTGTTTATGTCTTATGTGACGGGTTATTGACAATGTTCTTCTTAATAACTTCCAATCGTTGCTTTTTCTAGCTAAAAGCCTTAAACTGTTTAATCACAAAGCGTTTTTCTTAATCAATCAATCAATATGCCGTTTACAATATCAATACCTTTTCTGGATCGAAGGACCTAACCACAATCAATTACAGCAATTTTACAAGTCTAATTTCTTGGAGAAGAATTGTATGCAATTTAATTCTGTTTTTTTTTATTAACATCCGCGAGAACTATATATACATTTTTTTCTGGTTACATTATTTCGAAACTCAATGCATAATGCATTCTATTGTTTAAGAGAGAATTTAAAATAGAAAAAGAAATAGAAAATAAAAGCGAGATCGAAAGCGAATTTAAGATAGAAAACAAAAGCGAAATAAAAATAGAAAATAAAAGCGAATCTAGGATAGAAAATAAAAGCAAATTTAAGATAGAAAACAAAAGCGAAATAAAAATAGAATTTCAAAAGCGAATTTAAACTAACGAAATTGGACTAGATGGTTTTTACCAAAATCGAGAGATTGGCGAAATTATTATTAACCCGGTAACATCACGTTATGAACACACTGTTACCTTTCTTTAGACTCATTATAATTATAATTTAATGCTTGATGCATTATATAGATTTGACTATATTATACTCTCCTATTTGTTATTCTTAATAAACTTTATTATAATTATCTTGATTAAGTAATTTATTATAATATTATTAAGCACTCCCCAGCTCTCTCAAAGACTCATAAAATATGGTAATAACTTTTTTGGTGTCCTCTCTGTGGATGAAATAGAATTTTTTACCTCTTATTATCAACAAGAAAATAAGTTATTGCCAAAGAAAAGAGAACATTACGATAATTAGAAAACACAGTGACATCATCAAAAGTCACATGAGATCACATGTCACGTGTTATAATTGACCAATCAAAATTTAGAATTATCGAAAAGCTTAAATTTGATATCTAAAGCATTATAAATATCACATCACAAAATTTCAATCAAAATTATAAATCACATGATATCAATCACATCATCAGTCACCAGCCAATGAAATCATATATAAACAAAGTCACGTGATTGACAAGTGAATTTGAAAACACACTTTATTAAATAATGACTTCTTTAAAAGAAAATAAAAGCTGTAAAGTCTTTCAAATGATCAAACAAAGTGAAAAATAGAGTAAATAGGATCTTTATATAACACACACAACAATAATAACTGTATCAATCAATCAATAATACAAAGAAAATGAAATATAATCAGTCTTAAAGAGATTTAGTCAAGAAAATTCTCTTTGTTTCTCATGACAAGAAAAGAAAATGATTAATAATTAATATGCTAAGCTGCATACTCACATAATGCAGATCTGACATCCAAAAATAAATTCAGGAGATGTCACACACAGATAGAAATTATAAAGATCATATCAGAATTTGTACACAAAATTAAAAAGAACTTTATTATAATTTTTCAGTGAAAAATTCATTTTGCAAGAGAATAAAGTGGACTATCAACAAAATTTTTAATAAATGAAGTAACCTGTTGTTAATATGAACTCTTTAATGGGTGCAAATACTTGGTTGATATCAATTATTAATAGGATAACAGTACTATTTATTAATAATTTATGTTATAAATTTAAAATTAAAAGTTATATTTATATTTTATTTCTGGAAAATTTAGTTTATTTTTTTTATTTTTAGTTTATGACATATAATTGTTATGTTTGATATAAAGATTTTCTATAGTTTATGTATAGTCAGTTGACTAGTATATGTTTATATTTTTTTATTTATTTGAGTTTCCAGTTATTTCTTACTAAATATAGTAAAATTTTTGAAGTTTATCATTCTTTTTGTTCACTCTTATAATCCCTTATTCTTTTGTTTATCCATTTATATTTGGAATAAATGATGAGAAGATCTCAATTATTAATCATTTAGATAATTATCAATCTAATTTCTATCACATTTTCTTATAAAAAAACACTCAATTTATTTTCTAAATTCTTTAATTTATTTTATTTTTATTAAATTTTGAATAATTATCCTTTTTTTATTATTATCCTTCTTGTATACACGAAAATTTTAAATAAATAGAAACTGTTATTATGGTCAATTCTCTGACTTAATTCATTGAGGTATTGGTTCAATGTTGCTTGAATTTTGTAATAGATGTTCTCTATCATATATACAGTTTAAATTTTCTTATTTTCAATTTTATCTTAATGGAAGAGATTGAAATACTATATGTATTGATGACTTGTGAAATAATTCATATGTTATTACAATTCTATCAAAGAATCTTTGCTATAATATCTATACGTAAGATAAAATCTTATTCTTATTATTCACTTTCAAATTTATTATTCCTTAAATCAAGAATGATTGTTATGACTAACTAAGACTATATAGCTGAATAGCAAAGTCTTTTGGTATCTTACGATAAGTATAAAGAACTGAGGTTCAACATATATTCAATTTATATTCTTATATTTTTAAATTCTTATATTTTTATACTCATTTTATTATCTTATATTTTTATTTTATGAAGTAAAATTCTTAACTATAAGAGATCTGTTATAATATGAATATTTAATTCTTATTTTATTGGTTAATTCATATTATAAATTTAATTGGATGATATTTTATTAATTAATTTTATATTCATATTTTATTGGATAGTTATTTTTAAATAGTTATTATTTTATTGGTTCTTAGATTTGTATTAATTGATTTATATAATCAAATTTGATTAATATTAATGATGAAATTTATATAATATTAAAGTGAGTGATACATAATCATTAAGTGAGCGAGTGATGTATAACCATCAAGTGAGTACTTTTTGTAATCTTAATATTAATTAAAAATAGTTTTAATATTTAAAGGTTGAATAACAATAACTTGTATAAATATAATTTGTATTTTAGTTTAAAGCAATAGCAATAGCTCTCAAGCAATAGCAATAGTTCTATAATTCTATAGCTTTCA